TGAAGTAGCACGTATTCTTTTTATTTTTTTTTTTTTTCTGCTTTTCCTCCACTTCTTTATCTCAAAGGCACTTCTGCTGGAAGCCCTCCCCTCCCCTCCCCTTCCCCCCTTCACTCTCTCCTCCGCCTCTGAACGTAACAACTAAATTGAATTTAAACTAAAAGCAAGGTATGGTATGGTAATATTAATATTATCGTTAACCAGCAATAAAAATAATACATTATATGTATCTGACCTGACACGCCTGGAAGCTATCGCATCGAAAGTAACGTAAGTAACGTCAGTTTCACGATTCTCGTTGACGATGGTAACTTCCCTGGATCGCACTCGAGGATATTTGTGTGTTTAATACAAATTTCACGTTACGATCGAGCATAATATACCATTGAACAGAAAACATAGCAGACACTGATAATAAGAACGAAGATTTTGTGCCTTTTGACAAGGTTAACATCGTGTGTACAATCAAACATCCAAACTTTCGACATCGATCTTACAAACTACGTCTTCTTTCACATGTTACGCTGTTAGTATCGCTAGGAATCTCTCAGCGCGACAAAGAGAAAAGAAATAAAAGCCGTAATCGGGTGAGACAGTGATATCACATCAAATATTTCAAACAAATTTCTGCCTTATTTTTAATGCCGATAATTTGAGCGTCTACCATGTTTTATGTCTCTGCGCGTAATCAGTATACGGCGATCGCTTTCCAAGTTTCAGTCAAATAATACAAATAGTAACACAAATATCGAATGAATATTACATGATCGTTTTATTACTTCGTTAAAAAATAAAAAGAGGTCGAATACTCGCGCCGAATGCTACTGTCTGTAACAGTAAACAGATGGAAACCAAGCGTGTGAACAACCATAAAACAAAAATCCAACTCGCGTCTCCAGGACTTTTCCTTACTGCGGGAAAAGGCAGAGGAGAGCTCGTGGCTTTCCTTTCCATTTTCTCTTACGTTTTCTTTTTTCTTTCTTTTCTCCATTGAATTTATCAACTTGCACGATACTCAACAAACGGCCGCCGTTGGCAGACGTAACTATGACGATTTAATTCAGAATGATTAAGAAGACAACAAGATAACGTCTCCATTATTCTCGAGAAAAATAAAATCTCTCCTTTTTTCGTGTACTTTCAACCACAAAAAGAGAAAAGAAAAAAAGAAAAACGTAAAACATGAAATAAATCAGTCGGATAAAATTGGTGATTACGTGATCGTTATCACTGGGGCACATGACTTATCAACGTTATCGCCGCA